GACAGAAGCTGAACCGCATCAAAGCACAAGAGTGGTTTTTTGTGTGTTTTTTTTCCTCTGCTAAGTTTAAACAAATGAGCCATGCGGTTTTAAGTTTCATTTCTACTTGTGCAAAGCTGCATTAAACACATTATAATGTTAAACGGGCTGATGTGACTTTATTATGGTTTATATGTTAAAGTTGAGTTTATTTATGCAGATTAATAATAGTAATAATAATGATGATACTTGTTACATGAAAACGTTAATGATTAATCGAAAATTTATCGTTAATTCTTGTAATTTTATTAGTATTTTCTAATTATTTAGAGTTTGACAAAAGAACACAGCGGAATGTAAATGACTGCATCTGTTAAAGTTTGTTAAACAATAAATGACTTTATAAAGTTACTTTTTTGTTCTATATCAGTCTTCTGATCTGCCACAATAATGTAATAATGAATTTAAAAGAAAATACCTCAAGTTGAGGCTTTTCTCAGCAATTTGTAGGTGAGATTAAAAAATAAATTAATTACAGATTACAGATCATAATTAGTTAATCTCTCAATTTTTTTATCTCTTGACAGCACTAGTTACGACACTGGACTCACTGTGATCAAACCCACTGAAGTAAATGTGATCAGTGGTAAAATGAAGACTGCAGACGTATGTGCTGTTTGGAATCATTTTGGAATTTGGCGCCTCATCTCTTCTAATCACATGTACCAGTGCACTTGGAGCTGTGCGTCAGTGTGGAAATGATGAAAACTGAGGTGTGGTTGTAACTGTTGATGAGCCGAACATAACGGAACACTACAATTACATGGAGATGAACAAATCTGGGACATTTTCTCATTTTTCTAGATTTTGTCAGACTTACTACAGCGAACAGAGCCCACCGGAAGTTGTCATCGCATGTTTCCAAATGTCTTCCTGGTTTTGTGATGTCAGCGTGAATAAAGCCTTTTGCCCAGTTGAAATGTGGTTTTGGGCTTTTCAGAGTTTAGCTGTTTAGTCCCACTGTATGTTTGATATTGCAACTTATCTTATATATATGTGTGTGTACGTCCAGTCTTATATAATCTCATGTATCACATTTATACCTGATGTTAATTAAAGGAGTGTTGACAATACATGTGTACATAATGTATTTAGTAGATGTAGAAAACTGGAGTGCCTCATAACAAGAAGGTCCTGGGTTTGATTCCCCCTGGCGACATGTGGACGACAGAGAATTCCTTCCTTCCCCATCATGTTTATGGCATTTTCACTGGCACGTCCCACAGCCTCAGAATACCGTGTACTTCTTCATGTATTATGGATGAAGAGGACTGTCATGGTCACCAAAGTGATACTCGAAGGTCAGTTTCTAAGGAGACGATCATCTGTTGGACTGTGGACCTGAAGGAAAACAGAAAAAAGGGAAAGATGGGATGAGTACATATGTATCAATAAATTAAAATGGCTTCTTACAGTTTCATCACCCACACACACTTTACTTAAGTGTATTTCTCTGCAAGTTCAATCATCTGTGTAGTGGACCAAACAGAAAGGCAAAGACAAGGTGTAATAAAAAATAAGTTTAAATTTAATAAAGTCAAAAAAGATATAATTTAACAAATGCTCAAATTAGGCAAATTATTAACAAAAAAAAGCTGGGCCCAACTGGGAAAACTCAAAATCAACCTGAACAGAACAAAACTAACCCAACCAGACAAAGGAACAGGTGTGTTTAAATACCTGAGGACCAACTAAAGCTAAACACAAGAGGGAGGAATTACACTAATTAACTAACTAAACCAATAACTTCATCAAAGTAACAAAAAAGCAAATAATTATAAACACAGAAAAATAATAAGTGATAATAATGTGACCTTAACACAAACTAAACAAATTAAATAGTGCTCCCCCCTTTGCTGAGTCCTGATGGTCTCTCCCAGGGTCGTCCGTCCGGTGCTCAAAAAACAAAAAGAACAAGTGTAAGTAAATTATACTTATATTAACTAAAATGTGTGCACTCAAATTAGAACATAAGTCTAAATAAAGGAATTAAATTATGTGTAGTGTAATTAACTTCATGTAAATAATAATGAAAATTAAATAATACTGACACTATGGAGTGGTGGCAGAGGGATCCACCACAATCTGACAGAGCAGCTCAGCTCTGTCTTGTATCATATAAAATATAAATGTACACATTAATTGCAGAATAGATTCAGAGCAGTATTTGATCAAACTGTTCAAAAAATGTTGGAATAGTAAATACATCAACACTACTTTTGTACTGTGATATGTAGTACGTTCTTGAAAATCAAACAAGACGTTATCTCACATTGTGTGTATCTACAGTCAAGCCAAAAATGATTCATACCCCTGACAAATTTAGACTTAAAGTTGCTTTTATTCAACCAGCAAATTTTTTCTTGATTGGTAATGACACAGGCATATCCCAGAAGAATATAATTTTTTGACGGACAAAAAACAAAACAAAACAAAACAAAAAAAAACTTAAAACACCAGGATCATGTCAAGAGGTTTAATGACCATTTTCAGACCAAAATGACGAGGTTCACAGAGGGTGACAGTATTCCAGTGTAAGTCAAAGGGAGCCAGGGTCAGTAGGAGCCAGAAGAGCCGCATGTGAACTTCCTGTTTGGAACACGGTGGCTAGTACGTAAGCCATGTCCATTTATATATACACAGTGTTGGGAGGGTTCCTTTTAAAATGTATTCCCCTACAGATTACAGATTACATATCCCAAAATGTAGTTTGTAATGGAATCCATTAAGTTACTTAAAGTGAGTAACGTAATCTGAATACTTTGGATTACTTGATTTGCTGTAGAGAAGCAAAGACTAGGAAATCTTCACATAAGATGTTTTGTCTGATAAAAGAAACTTTAAAAAAACTTTAAAAAGACTTTACTGAACCAAATTAAAAATATTATTGATAGAAGATGAGGAGACACGGTCCATACAGCATGATTTAGTCCTGTTAAATCCTGTTTTAGACCTGGTTTAGACCTGGTTTTAGTCCTCGTTTAGTCCTGGTTTAGATCTAGTTTAGACCTGGTTTAGACCTGGTTTAGACCTGGTTTTAGTCCTTGTTTAGTCCTGGTTTAGTCCTGGTTTAGACCTGGTTTAGACCTGGTTTAGTCCTGGTTTAGACCTGGTTTAGACCTGGTTTAGATGTAGTTTAGACCTGGTTTAAACCTGGTTTTAGACCTAGTTTAGACTTGGTTTAGACCTGGTTTTAGTCCTCGTTTAGTCCTGGTTTAGATCTAGTTTAGACCTGGTTTAGACCTGGTTTTAGTCCTTGTTTAGTCCTGGTTTAGTCCTGGTTTAGACCTGGTTTAGACCTGGTTTAGTCCTGGTTTAGTACTGGTTTAGACCTGGTTTAGACATAGTTTAGACCTGGTTTAAACCTGGTTTTAGACCTAGTTTAGACTTGGTTTAGACCTGGTTTAGACCTGGTTTTAGTCCTGGTTTAGTCCTGGTTTAGTCCTGGTTTAGACCTAGTTTAGACCTGGTTTAGACCTGGTTTTAGACCTGGTTTAAACCTGGTTTTAGTCCTGGTTTAGTCCTGGTTTAGACCTGGTTTAGACCTGGTTTAGATCTGGTTTTAGACCTGGTTTAGACCTGGGTCAGTGTCCGGCAATGAGTGGAATACCGTGGAAAAAAAAAAAAAAGGGGGATATAGCACGAAATGTGAAAACAGAAAATACCATCATGTAATCCATTTATTTCAACAAAGTAACTGTAATCTAATTACCACTCACTTAAACAGTAAATGTAACCGAATACAGTTACTCATAATTTGTACTCTGATTACGTAACTCCGGTACATGTAATCCATTACTCCCCAACACTGTATATACAGTCTATCTAGTCACCACAAATGATTGAGAAAAATATAGATTATTTTAAGAAATGTTTAAGGTAAATTTGACAATCTAGAAATCATGTCGAAGTGCTGCTGAGATGCTGGTACTGTATGGAGTAATGGTCCGGTATGGAGTACTGGTACTGTATGGAGTACTGGTACTGTATGGAGTAATGGTACTGTATGGAGTAATGGTCCGGTATGGAGTACTGGTACTGTATGGAGTAATGGTACTGTATGGAGTAAAGGACCTCAGCTCTACTTTTCTATCATTCTACTGATTGACAGGTCTTGGCCTAAAGGAGGAGGAATGGTCACTTGTCTATTTCCACGGCAGACAGGGCTGAGATTTTCTGTTATTCTAGTGAATGTAGAGTTTAAAAACACAGTGGAGCACTTCCTGTATTACCACATTACATCACAAGGTGGAACAGTGTTTTCTGTTGAAGAATTCAGCCTAAATATGTAGGATTTGTAAAACATGTGAATGAAACAAAACTCCAGATATGTTTGTGATGAGGAAACAGAACAGAAAAAGCTCAATATAAGTCGTTCAAGGTGCACTGTGTAATTTTTCTGTGGAGGGTCTGCAACGTGCTAGTCTCCACGGAGATGTTAAAGCTTTGGTTTAAATGTCCACAGTTTGGTATTATACCTATCAGTCTTGCATTTATTCAACTGCAGGTAGTTTTTATTGCTTAAAAGTATTTAAAAAAACATACATTTTTACTGTCAGTGGGGTCGCCTCTCCATAAATCTAACCTATAATTTGACTTGCAAGTCTCCATGGATATCATAAGTTTATGGTCATACTGTGACAGACCCTCCACCCTTTTACCTCCTTTAAAACACATAAAAGTCTAAAAGATTTTTTCTTTTTTGTATCTAATTATGTCAAAGATATGCAAAATTATAATTCTGGCTCTTCCATATGGGGCATTTTTACACATAAAATGCAAAAACAAAATGTTCAGCTACTTTCAATATTTTGTTATTTGGCCAAAATCTGCAAAAAAGTTTTATTTTCATTCATTATCATTCGCCTTAAACACATTTAAAATAACCTACATCAACAAACCGGCTGAACTCATTAGATGATTCTTTCATTTATGTAACAATGACGACAACAGACACTTGATAATACTTCAGTTTTGGGTTTATTACCAAACGGCTAGTGTCTCATGCGTTTAGGCCACTTAGTATGAAATAAAGCTGTCCACAAATGAAAATGCTCGCCTCTGTAGTGTCTTCACAGTCCAGAAGACTTCAGGTCAGTGCAGCCACGGCACAGTAAAGGGAAGAGCCCACTGCATTCACGCCTCAATTCAACACTATACAACTCTGTACAAGTTAGTCTGCAGTACATTATCTATGTACAACCAATTTTTTAGCCTATCTGTACATCTGGATACAAAAAATACAATTTATAGGACTTTTAAGCATATGCAGCTTAAATGAAGTTATTTTGGGCTAACTAAATATACAACTTATATTCAGCTTTGTGACAAAACAAAAGCTCCATCTTGTAAAAGGAGAGAGGATATATTTATAAGTGTACATGGAGGACAGGAGAGTTCAGTGACGCCTGATCTTGACTTTACGCCTGGGGCTCTCTCTGCGTTTGTCTGAGTCGTGGCTGCTCCTCCTGTAGTTTTCGGAGCTGTGCCGCAGGGGGCGCCACTGGGACGGTCGTCGGTTCTCTTCCTTGTCCATCTCTAGAACTCTGGGTCTAAATGAAAGAAAGGGAATTCAGCAGGTTAATAAATTATTTCATAACTGATCTACATCATTTTTTAAACAAGTTCATTTGAACAAAAAAAGATGATTTTCTGTTTAACTTTGCATGATGACAAATTTTGAAGTTTATACAGGGTGTCCCAAAACATTTCACATTTTGCAGGCCAATAATTTTGGCAGTTCTTGTTGAAATAACCTCAAATTTTCACAGAATGTATAGAAACAGATCAAAATTTTATAATGTTGAATTATATTATATATTATATTAATTATGTAATTTGTCTTCCATTTTCAGGTTGAGCTGTTCACTCCCAAAGAGAAGTCATTTCATGTTTTGAAATCTGCTCGCTCACCCAAGACTGTGCAGCCTTCAGTGCAAATTTAGGAAAACTCCACCAACTGGCAAACAAATTTGGACTTGATACCAAAAATGTAAAAAGGAAGGCTGATTATGCCAAAATTCCAGTTAGAGAAGTTTCTCCAAATTTTGCACTGAGGGCAAGCTGTCTTCGGTGAGCGAGCAGATTCCAAGACACAAAATGACTTCTCTTTGGGAGTGAACAGCTCAACCTGAACAAAAATAAAACATTAAATATAAAGTCTTGATTTGTTTCTGCACATTCTGTGAAAATTTGAGTTTATTTCAAAGAGAATCACCAAAATAATTGGCCAGCGAAATATCAAATGTTTTGGGACACCCAGTATTTTATTTTTTATTCCTCATCAGTCATGGATTTCAATTTAATCTCCATCATGAATATACACAAGACATGTCAAAAAGTGTACACTTCAGTAAATGTATATAGTTTAGAGCAGAGGACTAGCTGTAAACCTCCTCATTATAAAAGGCCCAAGTGCATCAGAAACAATTAAATATAGAATCAAATAGAATTGGATTAAGTGCAGAGTCCTAGCTGGAGTGAAGTTTTAGTGAAACTTTAACTTTAAGTCAAATATTTTCCTAGAATATTTAGGCCAACTGATCAGAATGGTAAACGGTCACATTTTTCCTATAGCACTTTTTCACCTTCAAGGCACTCAAAGCGCTTTACAACAAGGAACCACTCACCCATTCACACACACATTCACACACCAGTGTACGCAGACACTGTGGGCAAGGTGGGTTAAGTGTCTTGCCCAAGGACACAACGACAGCATTCATCTGTAGGAGCTGGAATCACACCAGCCAACCTGTGGGTCAGTGGATCTGACCGCTCAACCTGTGATGTTTATGTCGAGAGCTGGAATCGAACCACCAACCTTCAGATCAGTGAGCGAATGCTCTACCACAGGGGTGTCCAAACTTTTTTCATCAAGGGCCACATATCTAAACACAGATGAAGCAGAGGGCCAATCGAGGGCCATAGACTGGTGCTCAGTACAGTGAATAATTAAAATATGTGCATGTTTAACATGTTAGAATGAGCCATCAGTCTTTATTCGTGCTAAGATCCTCAAAACCACACACTAAATATGAAATATTGGCTTTATCAAGGTAGATTTTCCAAAAACTTGCAGTAAAAAGTTATGTTTTAATTGATGCAAGATAATTTGGGTCAATTCTCCTGGAAGCCTGAGGGCCAAGAAAAATTTGTCTGAGGGCCGCATTTGGCCCCCGGGCCATAGTTTGGACATGCCTGCTCTACCAACTGAGCTACTGCCGCCCAGAATAAAACAACAAGACAAGCATTTCACCTCTGAACCAGCATACATATATAAAAAGAGAGCGTTTGAGATTGTGAGTGAATTCCAATGTTGCAGCAGCACAGTACCTGTGGGCAGCGTCCGGGTCGGCTCTGCGGTGGGAGCGCTTGGCTTTGAGCGGCACAGGTCTCTCAGGAGGAGAATTGTCCGAGTCCAGCCGAGGAGCGTCTGGTCTGGTCCTGCCAAACAACACACACAGACACGCTACAATCTGAAGTGTATCACAATGTGCACGAGTGTTAGGTGAATCATTAAAGGGACGTTATGGGAATTTTGGAATGGGAAAGGGGTCTATTTGGAGTAAAGATTCAAATATGAACTGTCCTGTCTTTAAATGATATGAACAGTGTCTTGTACACAGTAAAGTCCCTTGGTCACTTTGGCTGGATGACAGAGACATCAAGAGACAGTACTGTAAGTGTGCACCCAGGCAAACATGTTGGTGAGCACATTTTGTATGTTTGCCTGATGTTAAGTGCTCCCTGTTCAGAGGCGGCCTGTCACGATAACAAATGTTGAAGTGCGATACGTTAATTAAGTAAATATAGATGAACCAAACCAAATCATAAAGCAGAATTTTCCAAAAAAGTACATGTAGAACAGTGTTAAAAACTATGAGTGTATAAATAAATATGAATGAATAGATAACAGAATGCAACACTTAAGTAGTTTTGTGTCTATAATGAGTCATAGAAGTTCATAATTCTACCTTCTGCAAAAATGTGAAAGCAGTACAAAGACAAAACATGATAAATAGTGATTCCCAAAAATAAATCTTCTATCTGTCATGTATTGTATGATAAGTAGATATAGTATTTATTGTGACAGGTCTAGTTCAGAGCCTGTAGTACACGGTCCCTCAGTAGTAGAACTATGGACTTGGAGGTTCCACAGCTTCACACTGGCCTGTAGATCTACAGTTGTCATCACGCAGTCCCAGAATGCACCTCTAAACCCCACACTGGCAGTTGGGTCACAGTGAGTATTCCCAGAGAAACTCATGGCGTGGGCCATGCGTGAGCCACAATGAACAAACTTTATTGTTGTTTCAGAGACTGTGGATTATTGTTGCACTGGAATGAAAACATGATCAAAGACAGGAGAAAGCCTGAGCCTTAACCCGATTTACAAAACTCCAGATTGACTGCAAAGGTGGATTTTTGCAGCTAAACGGGCTAGCAGCTAATTTCAATCAAACCAGGCATTAATTAAACTATAAATGTGCTTTTACATCAGTATCTTTTTTCTTTCTTTGGTTTAATTTGAATGATTAAACTATAGTCTCATAACGATTGAAAAACTAAGTTTGTTTATTGTGTATTGTCAATTGAGTAAACTGAAGAGAAATGATCCCAAATGCTTTTTGCTTAACACTGTTCATGTGTTTAATGTTTATTGACTGCTTAGAAATGTGGAATGTAGAAAATAAAATCATTAACTACAGTTAAATCGATGTTTTGAGTGTGTTTGTTACATTTACATCAGTGATTGAGCTGCTATATGGCCACGACATCTGCACTTTAGTCAGAGCACATTGTATTTTTGAAATTTTATCAATGAAACTACTCTGAAACTAATACACCGACTTCTTTACACTTCCAGAGTACGTTGTATAGTTTCAGAGTAGAGTAGTTAGCTTCTCCCTTTATGCAGATATAAGGCAGTGTCCACCAGCGTCTGACCACAACTGAAGAAGCAGCTTGGATGAACTGAAACGTATTTGACCAAAAAACTTTTGTCCGGTTCACAAACTGATATTTCTCCTTTGCAGCAGATTCTATGTGGACGACTGAGGGATTTTGCAAATAAATTTCCTTTTCTTTTTTCTCATACACTTTCTGGTAGAAATGAATTTTAAAAGTTTGAAAGCTTGCTTGGGATAATCAGCTACATACTAACTAACAACCACAAGACCAATTTTTAATTGTAATAATATAACAGTTATTTAAACATCTTGACTTGCACTTGAAACTTCCATAAATGAATGGAAACTGTCCTTCTGGAACCGGAGCAGAGGGTCACTGCTGAGCTCCATGGCTGTAGCAGTGAAGTTGACATGAAAAGAAAAGTGTGTGTGCTTGTGTAGTGTGTTGCTCACTTTCTCAGGATGATGACGGCGCGACGCTGCTTGATGTCCTGAGGTCGAATACAGTGAGTGATGTCATCTGCTGCGTACCCACTGAAGACAACACAAACACATGCACTTAGCAACAGAAACAGCAGCAGCACAGGACTCAACAAATACACACATGGGGCCACTCCAATGGCTGCATTTAAGCACTGGAAAGGAATCCTATCTATCATTCTAATCCACCTGCAGGGACAAAATTGTGATCTCTTTTTCTTATATTTTATGTCAAGACTTTCACAAGCCAATCACTACAAAAACAGTAAAGCCTTTATTTTCCTAGCCCATAATAGATAGATAAATACTTTATTGATCCCGAAGGAAATACAGTTTTAGTGCACAAAGAAAGGCCCCTGTGGTATAGACCTGACTGGATACATATAATAAGACACAAGACAAACAGAATCCAGTGGTAGAATAGAAATCGGGTGAGTCAGTCAGCAGCCTGTGTGGGCCAGAGTCAAGAATTTGATGCCAGAGGGCCGAAGGAGTTTAGTGGCACCTCTCACATCTCTCCCTTCTGCCTCAGACCAATGCTGCTGTGCCTGACCATACCTGTGTGTTTTTCTTTGAGAAGAAAGAACACCATCAAATCATGTTAATTCACATATAGTCCAAAACCTCGGGGAAGTTCCTCCAAAGTTCCTTCAAAATCAACTATACGCTTCCTGTGACCCTTTAAAAATAAAACCACCTGCACTGAAGAGCTATTAAAACAGCCTTATGGTGGAAATGCTTTAAAATGACAATGCACTACAGCACAAAACACAAAAAGCTGTAATGTCCAGAGCAACAGTAGGTTGAATTGAACATGTAACAAAATATGCTGTAAAAGAAAAAGCAATGTAAAAGAATAGTAGGCTTTAGCCAGTTGTTAGATGCATAATTTTCAGCACTGGCCAAAATGAGATCTCATGAACTAAAGGATAAATGGTCTGATTTGAACTCAGAATTTGTTTAGCGCACTCAGATTTCTCAGTGCTTGTAAACATAGTGACTAACACATACTTTAGGGATGGGCAATATATTGGTTCCATGATCAGTAAACGTAAAATTACTGTAAAAATATATGAATACATTTGGGGCATTGCTATGGATTTTAAAAGCAAATAGCAGATATTGGCCAAACTTCGGACTCAAAAAACCATACTGGCCCATCTCTAAGATGCAGGCTTGTACGTACATAATATAGAATGTCCCACCTGAGCACTGTGACGCTGCCTCTCCGCACCGGCAGCACGTACACTGGCTCAGACACACGGATGGGCTTGAACTGGAAGCGGCAGCCGAAGCACAGAGCGCTGTCGCTGAAGAAGGACACGGAGACGATGGGCCGGGCAAAAATGTGCAGGGGGTCCACGTGCGACACGATGCACCCGCCCGGCTGGTAGTCGTTGATGACCGCGCTGTTGACGAAGCCCTCTGGGATCACCCCCGACGACACCAGCCTCTTGATGACCAGCTCGTGCACCCACTGAGGGATGTCGTCCACCTGGCCTTTCTGGTAGAGCCGCTCCTGTCCCGGGCCGCGCTTCTCCAGCTGGGCCCCGTATGTGTAGCCCTCCCCGAAGAAGTACTTGTTACGTAGAGGTGCCCTGTCCACAGTGTGCTCCCGGTACAAGCCCGCCTCCGCGTTAGCTACCACCTGCAAACACACATCATCTTTAGAAAAAATGGACCATCATAAACAAAACCAACTAACACCAAAGAATTGACTTGAATTTATTCATGGAAAGCCCCTTGAGAAGCAGGAGGTCCAAGAACATACAACATACAGTTTACTCTCTCTTAGACACAGTTACAATACAATACATACAACACACACAACATACAAACATACAACAACATACAAACAACATACAACCATACATACAAACATACATCTATACAACCATACATACATACATCCATACAACCATACATACATACAACCACACAACCATACATTAGGGCTGGGTATCATTAACAAGTTGCCGATACGATACATACTTCGATACATAGGCTATGATACGATACATATCTCGATACAGTGCACTTTCGGTTAAATATACATATTTCAAATCGATTCGATACGGTTCATTAAAAAAAATAAAGGCTAAATGATGGCAGTGATATTAAATGTTTTTGTTGAACCACTTCTTGTGCAAAGTTAATATAACACACATACATTTTAATCATCAAAAACAGTGAAAATGTCAAATGTGTAACATAAACGAGTTTCCTTCCACTAAACAAGCAAAAAAACACTAGCGCTGTGACAAAATAATTTAGTAAAATAAACCAAAAAATACTCTTGGTGATATATCGATACACCAGCCCACAATATCGATACTGTGTCATCACCTTAAACAATACAATATATCGATATTTCTATATTTCTGCACAGCTCTACCATACATACATACATACATACATACATACATACATACATACATACATACATACATACATACATACATACAACATACATACATACATACATACATACATACATACATACATACATACATACATACATACATACATACATACATACATACATACATACACATACATACATACATACATACATACATACATACATACATACATACATACATACATACATACATACATACATACATACATACATACATACATACATACATACATACATACATACATACATACATACATACATACATACAACCATACATACATACATACATACATACATACATACATACATACATACATACATACAAACATACATACATAGGGATGGGCATTTGATGAAATTTTCAATTCAAAATAAGTCAAAATAAATACATTTAAAGATAAAACAGAAAAGAGTGGTACTGTTGTCCTTTTTCAGGCTGTAACTAGTCAGGCTGATCATGTAACTAGAAGTGATGAGTTCTATACGGACATTTTAAGATGAATCTACATAATGTGTTGAACAATACATTTAGTGGTTTAAGATGTATATTGTAGGTATTATGATAAACTATCAAGAATCAAAGGGGGATTGTAATGGGTTTGATTTAGTCGTGCAAAAATATCCAATAATGAAACACTCATGAGATGTGATGGAGAAATGTCAGGAGAGAAATATGGCAGTCCACAAACATTTAGCAAACATGCTTTTATCTGTGATTCAAAGATCTAATATCTGATGAACTATGAATTAAACACAAGCGTTCTATGGCATGCTGCTGCAACAAAACAAGGCACTTAGGGGTGACAGTGGTTATTGGCTAATGTTTGTGAGTGAATATAGCACAACAGACGTGAAACAACTGTTTACACCCCAGCACCTTGTGAGACATGAACATTATATAAGACACAGCATGCGATGTTGAGCTTTATTTCATATATTTTCTAGTGTACTTTTTGTCCTGACATTTAAACTAATATATTTTCAGTATGATAAAAAAGCATGTTTACAGATATCTTCTTTCTCAGTGTACAATCAGAAAAGCTGCAGCTGCGGTGAGCATGACAAAGAGAGCTGTTGCAGTATGAAGAATCATTCTGTCTGTGAATACAGTGAATACAACTAGGATGTACCAGGTGACTGATCAATCTGAGGACAACAGTCTTCTCACCCAGCCCTTAAAGGTTGTATGGAGATTTTTTTTTTGTTTGATTCAAATTGTTGATGAAAGTTCAAAACAGAATTATAAAGATGCAGCGGCCTTCTAATTATGATGACCAAAAAAAAAAAGACTGAAAATCCATCAACTGTGGACGTGGTGGGGGCAGATAAACATCAGCCAACAAGGCTACCTCTTTATCTATTGGCTGCTGGGTTGTCAATCAGGCTCCCTATGTTTCTAGTGTCACTGACTCGCCGGCGCGCTCGGATTACGTGGTTTACATTCAAGTCTCACACACTGATTCTGTTTACTCAACCAACACAGCGGTTCTTAGAGTCTTTTTCGAATTGTAGCTTCCTCTCTGTTTGCGCAAAGTTTGTTGTACTGGCAGACAAGAATTCACGCCCAGTTCGCCACAAAAGAAAGTCTGTTTTTTTTTATGTTGCTGAAACAAGAAGAGAAGGGGAAAAGGAGTGAAGCACGACATTTGAAAAAGGACAGTCGCTGCATTTCTCTTTCCTTGGAAAATCTTCTATACAACCTTTAAAAACAAACATTGAATTGTCAAGAGCCTAAACTTTAATGTAATACCTGCCTCAGGACAATGGATGAAATTTTGCTCGTTTATGCTAAAACCGGCATATTTATGTTGCAGCTGCTTACTGACCATAGACTGGATTTACAGAGTGTGACATCACCTATAGCGCTCAGGTGCAACCAAATGAAGCCAAACAAGGCTAGCAGTGGAATCATCAGCAGCAGATCATCTGCAACCAAGTCCTATATTTGAAAATACGAGTACGCCAATACAGAGCCAATTAGAAGCGAGGTTGTAGAAGGTACTCGCTTCTGCGTCACAGGTCTAGAAGCCTGACATCAGCAGTTAGAGAGAGGGGCAACCATTTTTTTTTCTCATACCCACACTCATTTTCTACTTGGAATGTGGTGGCCAAAGGGCTAGCCATGTCATCTACACAAGCCGCTGACACTTTGATTCATATGTACTGTCCAGGGCCTATATTACACTATTTTTGATCCATGTTATAATGTTTCCTCATCACAAACATATCTGGAGTTGTGTTTTGTTTCATTCACATATATTTAACAAAGGCCGAGTTCTTTTCTCAAACTGAAACTGATGTAAGTAAGTGACAATACAGGAACTGCTCCATTACAGCAATAGTTCTAGCCCAGGAGTCTCCAACGTTTTCCCTCTGGTGCCATGGTCAAACCTCTGCTCAAGAAGGATAACTCGGGTAGCGTAGGCTCCTGACAGATCAGTGGTTGTATTTAAAAGGGCTGGGTGAAAAGACTGTTGTCCTTACATTGATCAATCACTCGGTACATCCTAGTTGTATTCACTTCAGACAGAATGATTCTTCACTGTGAATTTGGAGCAGAGTTACAAATTAGGAATAGGAATTGATTTATGGACAAAATAACAAAATAAAAACTCCAGGCCATGCTTGCCTGGCTAATTAGAGCAGCACGGTTTGAAAAAAACTTTACAAAGACACCACTTAGAAAGCGTAGTATAGGACATTTAGTAATTCAAGGTGAATAAAAAAAAACAAAAAAAAGTCCATGTTTAGTTTTTGAGGATATTCTGGCATGGCTAACAGCTCACAAAGCAAAAAACAAAACAAAAATTATGCTCACCTCATCAATCTTGTCCTCTATGTGCCGGCACTCCTCGGGGCTGAAGATGCTCCTCTGTTGGACGCTGCTGTGGACGCGGCGGGCCTCTTGCTCCCGGCTCTCACTGCTGTCATCGCTGTGGTCGTAGTCGTCGGAGTCAGAGTGGCGGTGTTTGCGTTTGCGGCCTCTGCGTGCGCCGCTGTCGCTGCTCCGCTCCGCGCTCTTGTTCTTGTGCTCGTCGCGGTGTGGGGTCATGGACTTGAGCTTCTCTCGCAGGTCGGAGTAGCCACTGGCTGCCATGTCAGAAGAACGTAGGGTCTGGAAAAGTGAACAGGAAATCAGCAAAAAATTTGACTGATTATAACAGGCAGGAGAAAATAGATCCTGCTTATCTTTTCCTTTCAGATGTTATAGATCATGTTTGGGATGCACACAGCTTTCTCAGTTCTGATACCAATATCAAGACTTTCAACATATGCAGATATGAACCATCAGTGTAGGGATGTAAGCAGGCAGTTATTTCTCAAAAACACAATTAAATTATTGCATAAGAGATCCAATTGTGTTATGTAATTCATTTCTTTTTCATATCACTACTGAGCAGCTTTGTATGAATAAATCAGTCTGTAAATAGTCTTATTACATCCAATTAAAGGCTCAACCAGGACATCGGCTTAACCAATACCATGTAACCCATACAGCAATTTCTTCAGTTAAGATATTCAATAATAGTATCAATACATTCCTTGGGCCCAGTCAAGCAGAAGTAAACAGCAAGGCCAAAAATTCAAGTTAATCAATCTGATATAAAACTGTATTCAACAGATAGTATATGTACTCTAGTTTATGAAACTGTTGACCTTTTTTGGTTCTAAAGTTACATACGTTTTAAACAGACCATGTATGAAACATGGAACAAAAATTATTTCCCAAATTTCAAAGACCTGCAAATCATGTAAAGAAATGGATGTATTTCATCATATCTTGTGTTTTTCCATCTTTGAACTGTTGATGAAGGTACATGATTTTTAAAAAAAAAAAATCTATTTAAAATTATAAAAATTTGCTTGGAAGGACTGACATATTTTATAGAAATAGTTTCCTTTCCTTTTGAAGTTATATAAAAGTTTTCGGAAGAAAAAAGCGACAAATTATGTAAAATCATGCACCTTCTACTTGCTCACACAATTTTCCCTCCGTTACCATGACCTTTCTTAATAAAAAATCTCATGAGTCAAAAAGTAAGAGGTTTTACAACCTAATCTTGTACCATATGGTAGAAAACTATATGAAGCAAATATTCAAACCAGTTTGTTAAGGATATGTAAGTGAGAACCAAGAGTTATCACTGTTTGGATTTATTGCCCAAAAAGTGCTGCATATTTCATTCCCTCCATTACCGACATGAGTTTTTAAATTTTTTGTCAACAACTTGAAAGAATATCACAGGTTTAACTTGACCCTGTTGGAGTGTTAACTCTTTCCTACATTCTGATACTTTACTTATTTCAATAGTCCCTCTAGTTTCTGAATAAGAGACATTTGAATGTCAAAAATCTGCCCGTTTCCCTCCGTTACCACTTGACCGGACCCCCTTGTGTTTCTTTGATTTACTTTTTTTTTTTAATGACACAGACGTGCACTGTGGATATATATATATATATATATATATATATATATATATATAGTATATATATGTATGTATGTACTTGGCTCCATGGGGATGTTAATACTTTGCCTGGAATGTTCCCTGATATGGCATTAAATTTATCTAAAGAATTACATGTTTATCTCTATGGAGACCTCTCACCATAATAAAAACGTATAATTGTTTACATAATATTTCAGGTAAAGCATTAACATCTCCATAAAAACAAGCAACTTGCAGATGCAACGTTTAACACACATACACGTGGTGGTGGTGGTGGTGGTGGTAGTGGTAGTAGTAGTAGTAGTAGTAGTAGTAGTAGTAGACACAGTGGGCTGTATAACACTGAGAGGCAAATTCACAAAATGATTGATGATTAACCAGAGTTACCTGACTAGAGGAGTGAATTATTGTGGACTGATGTATCATATGTAACTACTCCATCTGTATAATAACATGGTGCAAATAACTGAACCTTTGTTAAATAAATCCTGACATATTTCTTAATCATTTTACAGTTACATTTTTTCTTCATCTTGTGGCACTGTATGTTTGTGCATATTCATTTATAACGTGTATGAGCTGTGTCTCCCACAGATTTGTATTGTCATGAATCATGTGTTTAGTATAATCAAATGGAAATGAATGAGTGTGAGTAAAAGCAGCGTGTACGACTCATTCTTCTACAGTCTGAGCTCTGCCCGGGCCAGTGTCCTGTTCCTCCAGGAAAGGCCATGGCACAGGCTTGGGGGCACAGGCTGCCCCCCGGCTCTGCCCCCCGGCTCTGCCCCCTGGCACTGCTCTGGGCTTAGGTGTCATTTGAGGCTCTGGTGCCAGCTGACCTCTTTAGTGAACCCAGCACAGTGTGGCTAGCATTAGCTTAGCTGCAAACGCAGCACATCGTTCAATCAGAAGTACGGGCTTTGGCTAAGAACGGAAGTGTTCTTAGTTAAATGTACAACCTTGTGAATAAAGACGTCCCCGAGTCTCCGGTGTGACGGGCACAGCGGGCACAGAGCGGGCACAGGGCTCGGGTTCAGGTGTTAGCTGCACTAGCACTAGCCTGGCTGTGCGTGTGGAAAAGCCCACAGATCACGCAGCACCATGTCACGTCACCACAAACTCCGAAACGCCGCGTCACCCAAACGTTTGCGTCGCGTTGATCTCACATAACTGCACAGAAGTATCGATATTTCCAAATATGAGTCCCAAGAATCCCAGAAAGAGAAAAGAGCGAGCCGATCCACAGGCTGAAAATAAACGCGTGGAACCTAACAGACACGCGCGCATGCGCAGTCCTAAGGCTTTGTTTGGGGGAGGGTCTGTCACGTGTCCACGTGTTTAAAATAGGCGGATCTGAGCCCCGGCACCCATGGGTGCATCACCCTGTACTTATGCACTTATTTTAGAAGTCAGTGTTCCACATCGGCGGTTTTGCAAAATAACATCGCGAACTTGAAGCGAACTCAAAGCTTAAGGTGGTGTAGAGCGGACTCTGTGTGTCTCTTTCTATCTGTGTTTATGTGTTGTGTACATTTAGTTTGTATTCTAAGTTCATGGTCTTGAGGATTAATAAAGCATCTATCTATTTCAAACATTCCCACAGTCTTGGATTTGGTACTACAGTATATGTGTGGTGGTGGGGCACTTAAATCAAAGGGACCAAATGTCTGTGCATGTCCCTGCCTGACAGGCCAGTCCCTTATACATTTTCTAGATACTACACTTCTTCAGTGGGAGTGCCCACATAACATTCATTTTATGGATGTGAGCGCAGTTCCAGTTTATATGTAGTTATCCCCTGCAGTGATTAATAAAAGCTAATATGGAATTATTATTTTGTTTAATTGTTTGTTTTATTGTAGTCTCATTTTGCACAAACTGTGGTTGCCATTTAAACATTTAACTCAAGTTTGCATATCCAATGACAATGGGGCAGAAATCTTTGTGGGAGCTGTGGAGGAGCATCAGCCAGTCTAGGGGAGGCCAGAGCCCCCTCAAGCCCCACCCTGGCTCCACCCCTGACTGCATTCAGGTACACTTATACAGTACTCACTATTCTGTAACTAAACACATTTTTAAAGTGTTCTTCCATCACTGTAGATAGATCGACAGATAGATTTAAGGGCTTTCCAGGAGATACTGTATGTACTGTTGGTCCACAATACTGTAAACCTTTTTGTTACATCCACTTTGAGCATGAACCACTAAGCTTCAGGAGACTTCACCAAGAAACCCATAGAGAGAAGACCAACAATGTCTCACTGTGTCTGCACTGGTCCTCTGCTCCTCTCTTCTCTGCTCCTTTCTCCTCTGTGTCTCTTCTGTGGTCAAGGTTTCCTCACCCATTTTCTACAGAACTGAGGAGAGGAATAGAGGAGAAGGAAAAAGGAGAAAATGAAAAGAGACATACCCCTAAAAACAACTTAATGATTTCCACTTTGGAAAACCAGAGGGCCATAAGGGTGATTTACAGGCTTGTGGTTTAGTGTGACATCTCGTGGCGAAATAATATTAAAAACACTACTGGTCAAAAGCTTGGACACACATTCAGTGTTTTTTTGTTTGTTTGTTTGTTTTGTTTTTGTTTTGTTTTTTCTTCATGTTTACTCATTTTTACATTTTATGGAAGATGAAAAAGTTTTAAAAGTAAATAAATATAAAAAACTGAATATTAATTATTGCTATTTTATATATAGATCTTCAGATTCAGTTCTGTTCATTGTATTTATGGACAGAATTTCTAGGCCCAGTCAGGGGCCGGAGGGGGTCCGGTTTGGGGACCACAGGATTTCATCCCTGCTGTTTGCAGACGATGTTGTCCTGTTGGTTTCATTAAACCAGGACCTGCAATGTGCACTGGAGCAGTTTGCAGCCAAGTATGAAGTGGCTGGGATGAAGATCAGCTCTTCTAAGTCCGAGGTCATGGTTCTCGATCGGAAAAAGCTGGCTTGCCCTCTCCGGGTGGGTGGAGAGTCCCTGCCTCAAGTGGAGGAGTTCAAGTATCTCGGGGTCTTGTTCACGAGTGAGGGGAGGACGGAACGTGAGATTGACAGGAAGATCGGTGCAGCTTCGGCGGTGATGCGGTCGTTGTATTGGACCGTTGTGGTGAAGCGGGAGGTGAGTCGAAATGAGAAGCTCTCGATTTACCGGTCAGTCTACGTTCCTACTCTCACCTAGGGTTATGAGTTCTTTGTAGTGACCGAAAGGACGAGATCATGGATACAAGCACTCGAAATGAGTTTCCCCCGCAAGGTGGCTGGGCGCTCCCTTAGAGATAGGGTGAGGAGCTCAGTCACACGGGAGGAGCTCGGAGTAGAGCCGCTGCTCCTCCACGTCGAGAGGAGCCAGTTGAGGTGGCTCGGGCATCTGTTCCGGATGCCTCCTGGGCGCCTCCCTCGGGAGGTGTTCCGGGCATGTCCCACCGGGAGGAGGCCCCGGGGAAGACCCAGGACACGCTGGAGGGACTATGTCTTTCGGCTGACCTGGGAACGCCTCAGGGTTCTCCCGGAGGAGCTGAAGGACGTGTCTGGGGTGAAGGAAGTCTGGGAGTCTGGGATGGATCTTCAGAGTATCCACCCTTTGCTTTGTCAGCAGTGCTTCAAACCCTTGGCCTTCTCTCAGTGAGCTTCTTGATGAAGTCTCCTGAACCTTTGTGGGTGGATGTTTTGGTTTGAGGGGCAAACCAATTTTAGTTTAGTTTAGTTTAGTTTAAACTAAACTAAGTTCAAACTCTAAAGTAGTGGTAGTTTTCGCATTAACAGCCACCTTTGGTGCAATAGATTGGCACTTCCAGGGTTGAATATAAAAGTGAAAAAAATGCATAGCACACTCAGATGGTCGATATCCAAAACCTTTTTTTATGTTTAAATTATGTTTTGTAATCTTGTTGTAAATCAAACCACCTTAATAGAGTGGCATAATAAATGGTTTAAGGCACAAGATGTTGCCATTCTGCTGCAAGGGCTGGCATTGCCCAGTGAACGGCCCCTTGCCAGTGGACCATTGCTCCCCATCAACCCAAAGCACACTGAGGTCACTCCACACAGACATGCACATGTTTACAAAATGCCACCTGACACAACTGAGCAGACTAACACCTAGCTGCATGTGAGAGACAGAGCAGAATTGAGGCCCATTCAACCAAAACTACCAACATCTCAGACATTTTTTTTAAGACCACTGCTAATGCCACCTCAGAACACAACATACGAGACTATCTCCACACCACCGTCTGAAAGCACTCCAACTGATAACTGCTCAAACACAAGATACACCACAAAAACACAAATAGACCGGTCAGTTTAAAGGCATAATTTACTGCCCAAACCGAGAAACACTCACCAAGGAGTAGTGGCTTAGAATGATGAGAAAATAGTTATAGGATGTAAATATGTATGTAATATATTGTTGTGTAAATACTTTTATAATACATATTTTCTGCTTTTGAGGTTATTCCTCAAAAGCAGAAAATCCATCCGTCCATCCATTTTCTTCCGCTTATCCAGGGCTGGGTCCCAGGGGCAGCAGCCTAAGCAGGGACTCCCAGACTTCCTTCACCCCAGACACATCCTTCAGCTCCTCCGGGGGGACCCTGAGGCGTTCCCAGGCCAGCCAAGAGACATAGTCCCTCCAGCGTGTCCTGGGTCTTCCCCAGGGCCTCCTCCCGGTGGGACATGCCCGGAACACCTCCCAAGGGTCCAGGAGGCATTCGGAACAGATGCCCGAGCCACCTTAACTGGCTCCTCTCAATGTGGAGGAGCAGTGGCTCTACTCCGAGCTCCTCCCGTGTGACTGAGCTCCTCACCCTATCTCTAAGGGAGCGCCAAGCCACCCTGTGGAGGAAACTCATTTCAGGAAACTCATCTCATCCTTTTGGTCACTACCCAGAGCTTATGACCATAGGTGAGAGTAGGAACGAAGACTGACCGGTAAATTGAGAGCTGCCAAAGCTGCACCGATCTACCTGTCAATACCACGTTCCTTCCTCCCCTCACTCGTGAACAAGACCCCGAGATACTTGAACTCCTCCACTTGAGGCAGGAACTCTCCACCCACCCGGAGAGGGCAAGCCAGCTTTTTCCAGTTGAGAACCACGGCCTTGGACTGATCCTCATCCCAGCCGCTTCACACTCGGCTGCAAACCGCCCCAGTGCACATTGCAGGTCCTGGTTCGATGAAGCCAACAGGACAACATCATCTGCAAACAGCAGAGATGAGATCCTGTGGTCCCCAAACCGGACCCCTTCCAGCCCCTGACTGCGCCTAGAAATTCTGTCCATAAATACAATGAACAGAACCGGTGACAAAGGGCAGCCCTGGCAGAGTCCAACATGCACTGGGAACAGGTCTGACTTACTGCCGGTAATGCGAACACAGCTCCTGCTCCGGTCATACAGGGACCGGACAGCCCTTAACAAAGGGCCCCGGACCCCATACTCCCAGAGCATCCCCCACAAGGGACACGGTCAAATGCCTTCTCCAGATCCATAAAGCACATGTGGACCGGTTGTTCAAACTCCCATGAACCCTCGAGCACCCGATGGAAAGTGTAGAGCTGGTCCAGTGTTCCACGGCCAGGACGAAAACCACACTGCTCCTCCTGAATCCGAGGTTCAACTATCGGCCGGATTCTCCTCTCCAGTACCCTGGCATAGACCTTACCGGGAAGGCTGAGGAGTGTGATTCCCCTGTAAGTGGAACATATCCTCCGGTCCCCCTTCTTATACAGAGGGACCACCACCCCGGTCTGTCAGTCCAGAGGTACTGTCCCTGATTGCCACGCGATGTTGAAGAGGCGTGTCAGCCAAGACAGCCCCACAACATCCAGAGACTTAAGGTACTCACGACGGATCTCATTCACCCCTGGAGCCTTGCCATCAAGGAGGTTTCCAACCACCTCAGTGACTTCAGCCAGGGTGATGGCTGAGTCCGCCTCCGAGTCCCCAGCCTCAGCTTCCTCCTCGGAAGACGTGACGGTGGGATTGAGGAGATCCTCAAAGTGTTCCTTCCACCGCCGGACAACGTCCCCAGTTGAGGTCAACAGCTCTCCCCCCGCACTGTAAACAGTGTTGGTGAAGGACTGCTTCCCCCTCCTGAGGCGCCGGATGGTTTGCCAGAATCTCTTTGAGGCCATCCGATAGTTCTCCTCCATGGCCTCCCTGAACTCCTCCCAGCTCCGAGTTTTTGCCTCCGCAACCACACGGGCTGCAGCACACTTGGCCCGCCGGTACCTGTCAGCTGCCTCAGGAGTCCCACGAGCCAACAAGATCCAATAGGACTCCTTCT